GACATACCGAAGTCTGTACCCACGCATCATAATTTTTAGCATGATATACCCCGGTTAACTTCTTGTTAACGTGCAATAAACTAAACCTAGTACCTACATAGTAGTAAATAATCATCACAGTAAGTTTTGTTGGGGTGGCGTGTCTCTTCACACTTATTCCGTTTTAAGCTGTTATGGCCAAAAATCGACCATAGTGTTTTTTTCAGATATTCTAATAATCTCACTTTACAGTAAAAAAAACGTTATACCATATAAAGGTATACGGTATACCTATTCTTTATCTGAAAACCGTGAGACACACAAACAATGAACAGTGAACACATTTTTTTTTTTCATAATGTACTGTCTTAATATATAATATATAGGTAAAACTTATTATAATTTATAATGAATACTAGAGGATAAACATTCGACATAATTGTTTTTTATATGAAATAAATTGAATGTCTCTATTATTATATTGACGGTGCTTATTATTATTATTATTTTATATATTATAATCTTTTTATCTATATTTTAATTGTTTGAACACAAATATTTTAAACAACAATTATTGTTCTAAACCTATCAAACCGAGTTACTTAACTCCGTGGTGAAATATCGAGTTGAATGTGTTCCTTAAGCTTGTAGCAATCACGTCGCCATTATTTTGATATATCTATAATTCTCAAATATACAGAACACAACACAACTTGGTGTAATGTTCAAATTACTTAGTATTTATTTGTAGCGAATTATGAACATTTAATATCACAGTATAGTATATACAAAAATAAAATAAAAATATATAAAAAAATTAAAAATGTATTTTTTTAAATGTAAATCATTGCAGAATTGAATTTCACATGCCTATTTCTTGTAAATCATTATAGTTTATTGATAAATCACTGTTTACTTAATATAATATGAGTGTGCTGTGTGTACGAGTGTATACCTATGAAGTCTTGCAAAAGTATTTCGTGGGCTTTATTTTAAGTTAATTTATTAATTTGTTGTATATCCAAAAATTAAACAGCAATAAAAGTGTATTTAATTTTAAATTTTCGTTGTTAATTAATATTCGAAATTAATGAACACCGTAAATTAGTGTTTATGCTGGTAGCAGCTGCTGTAATATTGTCTTCTACTGAAGTTTATTTCATCGTTTGAATACTTTTCTCGCCTGGAATTCGGTCAGTCAACATTTAAACGTCCCGTTGTATTTTTAAGCCGATGCTATGTAATATTCGTTTTGTTTTTGAATACGATTCGAACTCAAACATAGTACAATGCAATAATATAGACCATCTGGTTGAAAATCAAACGAATTTGCTGCATACCAACAAGTATACGATAATAATAATTTCCAAATGGTCGATTCGTATACATTTCGACATTCAGAGATCGTTATTAGAAATGTTCGTAGGAGAACGATTCATGTCGCGTACCGTATAGCCGTCATTATCCACTCCAACGTTCTCTCAATAAGCCCTTTTATCGTATTATATTAGTATTATAAGAAAAGATATTTGAATCAGATATGTGTGTGTCCAGTAACGTAGATCTAGCAATTTGTCCAAGGATTACAAAAATAATTTTCACACACCCCTGTTCTTAGTATTCGTATACCTTTCAAGTCTAAACTACTTCACTAACCATACGGTATATATAGGGTTTAAATATAACTTCAAAGAGGAGTTAAATACATACATACCTTTACGTATAGATATAACATAAACAAGATGATTTACCAAATATACTATTATTTCCCACTTTTTTTTCCTTTAATGCATTTATGTTGTATAGAATTTTAAAATACCTTGAAGATCATATTATTATCAAATACTTAAATTTCGTTTACCGTTTAAGGAATAAGGAGTATTCTGTGACCATACAATCTTTACTTTTTTCAAATAGATATCTTTTTATGACGTTAATAAATAACGGTTAGCGCGTATTTTGTTTGTATTTTTTGATATATCTAATCAAATTTCAAGGAGCAGTTTCTGAGTGATAAAACTACATGTACTACGGATAATATTAATATAAAATGGTTTTACATATTAAAATATGCGTAATATTTAGTCGAATACTTATTTTATTCAGACTATTTTTACATATTATAGTTTTCAAATTACCCATGATACTTAAGTAAAGTTAAAGAACTTGGAAAGTAATTGTGAAGATTTTGATTTATAGACACAATAAATTACAGTTACAACAATAGGTGGTTTTCGTCTGAAAAATTAATTTGTTCTATCACAGGACACTCGTTAAATAGTATAAAGAAATCAAAAGTAATTGAAAATAACGTGTTATTAAGTATATACTTAAAAATGTTAAAAATCAGAATTTGAAAAAGCTCACGATGAAATAAAATAAAATGGTGGTGAGCATTGGTTAAAATCCGAGGTATTGATGTAGCTTCGTGATAATATATCTTCTATATATTATTATAAATACGTAAAAATCTTATCGTCAGTCGTCATTGTAGAAGAAGTCTCACCGTTTACCGTCTACACCACACGATGTTTCCGGGTCACCGCGGGTAGTCGAGGTCGGAAAAACGACTGTGAATAAAATGGCCATAATAGAAAACAAAAACTGATACAGTCACCCCCTGGCCCCCACTGACCCCGAACGTCACTATATTATTATATTGTTAGTCGTAACGGTGTGCAACGGTTATCGTGGCACAGGGGGGTGTGTCGGTGACTGTGATTCAATCGGGCCGGTGGGCTTGGAAGTCGGTCTTCGGCGGCACGCTGCGAATCGGACAGCCGTCACGAGTCCGCGTCCGGAACACGCATTCCGTATTATTATACGCGTTTAACCCTTCGTACGAACGGTGGCTTTATTTGAACATATTATAATATATTTATGCACGTCGTGCGATGTATAGGTGGGGATCGATACGGTGGGTGTGACGAAACTGGTGAGGAGATGCAGGTGGGTTATACGTGTATACTGTATATACAGTCGTACCGCCGTCGCCAACGTGCAGCAAGTGGACGCGGATATAAGGTTTGACGTGACGAGCGGGGTCGAACGAGTGTGTGTGTGTGTGTGTGTGTGTGTGTGTGTGTGTGTGTGTGTGTGTGTGTGTGTGTGTGTGTGTGTGTGTAATATATTTAAGTATATGTATTATGTATTTAGATTATACACAAACGGACCAATTCAATTTCACGGTACCGAGGGTTCGTCGTACGTCACGTCCACGACCGCACGGCCCGCGATTTACTGCAGCACTGATAGTGCGTACACCGACGATCGAACTCGAGATTTCCCAAATCATCAGATTACCTCCGAGTATACCGTTTTATTATTATTATTATCGTCATCTTATTCATGCGATTCTATAAATTCCCGCGGTCGGCTGACAATTGTTTAACGGGAGACATTGTATAGGTATCAGTAGGTAGGTTTCCGTATTTGTTATTTCTAAAAAAATTTAAATTGATTTTCGTTATATTAAAACTACTTTTAACAACATTGTTATGTATATTACTGTAGGAGATATAAGCAAGTGATATGTTCAAGTATCTACGCTTAAAATTTCAAAAAGTTTTTTGAATATTTATTGTAGAACTTCAATAAATATCATTAATATTTAATTTTTATTGCTGAGGTTTTAAATTCAGAAGTGTTGATAGTGATTAAAAGGTAGTTTTTAAACTCATGTTTCAAATTACAAAAAATGTAACCTAAATTTATGTGTATCGGACTTAATTTTAAAAAAAAATAATATTAATCCAATCCAATGTTTCTTAAATTAAGTTACACTAGTATTATTCATATTTTCTATTTTTATGTGCTTACGCTCAAACAAAATATACAGTCATTATGAAATACTGAGTAATAACTAATAAGTAATAATAATAAATAATGATATGAAGTCATTATGTTCGATATTTATTAAATTATTGGATATAATATTGATTTATACTATTTTTTTTAATTTTTGTTTTATTTTACAAAAAATGTGATCATATTATTATTAGAAAAACTATTGTGTAAATAATGGCTATGTCTTTGGATAATATCGTATTGCTTATTTAATATTATATTGAGAGTATCACCATTGTACTTTAACGAACAGTAGATCATGTTTCGTCATATTAGACTTTAAACAAAGGAGAACAATATAAATAAACGTGAATTAATGTTGACGTGTAATTTCAAAATAACTATGTTAAGCTTTTGTTTCACTAACACGGAAATGGGTTTTGGTGGAAGTTAAGAGACGCCCGTATAGCTTTTTTTCATTTTTACCTACATAATATACAATATTATAAGAGTACCTATATATACAATATTTTATGAAAATTAATGTGATTTTTTTCGTAATAATTTAAAACAAAACAATCAGTCTTACTTTATTATATTATATTTTAATATTTATATTATTATTATTTTTATGAATTACCTGAAATATTAAGAGTATAGTGTATACCATTTTAATATTTTGTTGAACTTTAATATTTAAGAAATTGTTGTCGGGGTCGGGTCTGTAGATTTTGGTTTTAAAAACACTGATGCTCTTAAATATATAAGTAAAGTTTCAAAACAATGTAATAGAATGGTTGTTGGTGAGTTGGATGTAGTTGAAGTGATGGAAATTGAGCTTAAGTTCAGTATTCATTTTTATAATAGCTCGATTAGGTACATAATATACATAATACAAAATACCTATCTAAAACATTAAAGAGTTGCTAAAATATAACACAAAAGTATTTAAACTTAAAATTATATATAGGTATATTTTTTTAAATATTATCAAATGATTTAAAAAAATGAATTATGTTACTATACGAATGTGCAATTTCCATTATGAAACAAGATACTATACATACCAGAGTAAACTTTAAAGTTACATCGTCGGAAACTATAATCTGATACTGTATAGTCATATAATTAATTTTAAGGTGGACTACTCTTAGCTGTACGGGGTGTCGCTATATATAATACCACGTTTATATCGAACACAGACATGTATACTTATAAATTATGTATTTTTTCAGGGCCGAAATATTGGGGCGTTTTGAACCCATTGTGGAAGTTATGCTCGATTGGCAAAAGACAATCTCCAATCGACATTGATCCGGACAAACTGCTGTTCGATCCATTTTTGAAAAATCTTCACATCGATAAAGATAAAGTAAGAGTAAACGTATAAATATAGATCATTTTATACAGTCTTCGTGTTTTTGTAGCTACCATGCTCAATTTAACAGCAATATCATATTCAGCAGAGTTATTTATATACATATATAAATATATATTCCCGAATATTATGCAAGGATTGACGGAAAAATAATAAAATCTGCCTGGAATCAGGATTTTCAAGATGTACACATTTCATATATATTATATACTATAAAACCATATATATATATACATATATATGCCATATGATGCATACGATATACCTACGAGTATTATTATTATTATTTTTTTTTATGAAAAATGGATTTTGAAACGGAAAGCAATATGTCAAAATATAATATAACGTCTTGATAACTCGGCCGACTATATTAATTTTGTTCTCTTTGGCACTTTTTTCCTACCCACGTGATATACACACTCTCTCTCTCTATCTCTCTCTCACACACACATATATAAATAAATAATATATCCAACGATCACAACAGGAGTTATTATGTTTAAAAATTAAATTCTTAAAGACCATAGAATATTATGATGGGCCGGTACACAAATCACGTTCATGAAATATGTAAAAATATTAAATATTTTAAATTTTAGTCAATCATTTTCTGTTGGAAAACCTAACCTTTGAATAATTACTTTCGTGGTTCGGCTTATAATAAATCTGTTTGATATAATAGGTCAGTGGAACAATCGAAAACACTGGACAGTCTTTGGTGTTCAGAGTAGATAAAGAGTCGAAATACGTTTTGAACATCACCGAAGGTCCTCTGACTTATCGCTATCAATTTCAAGAGTTCTACATACACTTCGGCACCGATAACAATCTCGGGTCTGAACATAAAATCCAGGGTTACTCGTTTCCGGCTGAAGTAAGTATTTTTGTTACTATATATTTTTTTCGAATAAACAGTGGCTTAACAATACATAACCTAAGTTGTGATTATATATCACAGGCAGAAAAAAGTTGATTTAAGTTGTGCGATGTACGGTGCTTAATTTTTTTGGTAAAAAACATGATTAAAATTAGAGAAAATTACATGTATAATTTGTTCAATATGTTTCAAAATATCTATTATTTAATAAAAATAAATTATAATTTAAATAAAAGCACTTGAAAGAAATCTGTATCGAGACAAATCTAAACATTAATATTACCACTGATGAAAATTACAAGATATGAATATTTTATAATATTCTATTTAATAATATCTTGAAACATTTTATATGTATACGCTTAGATTAACAGTGGGTATGTATGTCTACTTACATTGGTTTGAAACTCATTGGTCAAATTGAAACTACTTTAACTGCAATATTTTAAGGACTCGTAAATATTTATAAGATACAGTTTGAACAATCACATAAGTGTATTTATTTTTATGTATTTGATCGCTCGCTAAGAGCATACGAAATAGATGATACACAACAGCTGCTGCAGTACATAATATAAACAACAATAATAAAAATATAATTTCGTATTCATCGAACAAATGGCTATTTTTTTTACTATATATTTAAATGAATGATATATTTTACTGCACAAAAAGACAATACGTTTCAGCCTAAATTAATTTTAATGGGCTTGAAGGAGACAAATAAATATCATACAAAACGTGTTTAATGTATCTTATACATTTTTCTGTTCAATTGCACTTATACGATTCATACATTTTTCATAACGTTTAGTGGGATTTTATTAAATTTATTATTTAAACTTTGAAACACATCACCGATATTTATAATTAACCATTGTATAGTTATCGCGTGACATTCAACATCATCTACCACTTTGTTCAGTTAGTGGTACGCACATCGTACATGTAGGAGTCCCTCTATTATAAAAATAATGAAATACTGAGTTTCCTATGCTTAAGTAACAACCTCCATGGTTTTGAGTAAGGATAATCCATTTGTCACCCACAGTGTCTTTATTTCTAATTCCTCTTCTTTTTCTTATTATAAAAAAATTGTTATATGTCGTCAAAATTTGATAATAAGATCTTATATATATATATTATATCCGAGATAATTAATTGATTTGATAACTTAATTTGAGATAGTTGACAATGTTGTGTTTTATTGACTTCAAATGTGTTATATTATATTTGAGTTCTTACAACAAAATAATAATAAATCGGTATTACGGTTTTCAATTTTGAAAAGTTATCGTTTTATTTGTTTCATTATTTTTCTCTTGGAAGTTGGAATTACGTCGAATCTAACATTATCAATTCGAGTAAATGTACTAGGTTTACGTATATGTTTGGGTCTTCTTCTGAATCAACTAATAAATTTATTATAATTACTCAAACAAAATCATTTATTTCATATTGTTTTGAAAACCTAGTCAATTAGTTAAAAAAATAAAAGTAAAAATTAAATGTTCTACGATTTTCTCCCTATAATATACCTAAAATGTTGAACACGATAATTTGTATCTTTCGATAAAAGTCTGTGTAATTTCAAAAGTTCATGGAAGTTGTTCGGCTCGAAAAAGTTATTCCACTCCACAAAAAAAGGGTAAAAGAAAATTCAAATAACGAACGCACATAATATATATAGCTATATATATAATTAAAAAAGGACACCGTGTGTTGATAATTTATTAACTCTAGGTATAAAACTTGTCTAGATAAACAAAATATATTATAGTGTGAATAGGTTACTACAATTTTAAGTTTAAATTTTATTACATCGAATGCTTATTAAACGTTGAGTGTAAACAAACAAATTCTCTGCGTACGTATGTATTGTGATACATTGATATTATAATATTATGTACTACCATCTACCATCATGCGCCAAATTAAACAATAATATTTCCATACTTTACCATTTCTGATAAATGTAATGATGATTAATATACTACATGATTGTAGTCTGTAATCCAAACATGGAACGTCTCGATAAAAAGAACACATTACATATTTTTAAAATTTTAATCACAGTTGGTTATTCCTTGTAAGTACGTACAATTTCAGATATAAGTAACATTATTATTATAGTTTTTAACCTATTTATTAAATTTATTATACACAATTAGTTTTATTTTCCACTCATTCCAATTTCTAACTGTTATCACTTTATACGTAAACTTAGAGTATTATTTTTTTGATTAACTGGAAAGAGTTAAGTTTTTTTAATGTGAATATAAATACTGGCTTATTATTTTAAGAAATATTTACATTTTTTTAAAAATAATTATATAAAAAACTTAAAGTAAAAGGGTCTGTGTCTTGAGTAGGTAAAGTGTACATCTTACAATCCCTTAATTCCACTATGTTATGTAACGACTTTTTTTAGTCATTTAACATATGCTCCCAGTATTTTTCATTGATTTTAAGTTCTAATTTAAAACTTTCGGGTTATAAAAAAAATTGACTAGTATACGTTATATTTTAGTATCTATATTATATCCATACAAATTTCATGATCCGTGTCAGTTTGATAATATTTGTCGTGGAATAAATTTTCGTATTACCCAAAAGTCATTGCAGATGTAACAGTCATGTTTTTGGTTTATAATAGATTTCGATGTGAAAAGTTTATAACTTAGAGTCTTAACTCAGGCACACATATAATTTGCATTATAATATTATACACCTAAAACCTACCACTTTATTGTTTAACCCGACCAGTTCAATAAGAATTCCAATAGTTTAGACGGCTATTTTATTAACCGGGAAGTTGTTGAGTTATAATTTTGTAGTGTTTCAAAATCACAAGTGCTTCCATGTTATTAGATGTCACGACCGTGTATGGTTGTAATGATAGATCGTTCGTTGGATTTCAACTTCCTGAATGTAATTTTGCACGGAAATTCGTCAAATGTACGTATAGATCTATTTACGTACATAATCGTTCAAACGCATTTCTCCCTTCGTAGAATATTCTCTCACATTTGAATAATATTCCAATAGTCGTGCCGGAACTTGTATAAATTCAATTTCTATGTGGAACGCATTACCACCGTGTGGAATGTTGTTTCCGTATACCGTAAAATCTGAACAATATAAAAGCTACATGAGAAAACGTATTGTGGAATCCAATTTTCAAAATAATGACGAGTTTGGGTAAAACAAACATAATATGCTATTTCACGACTATATAGGTACCTACCCCAAATATACCTATACCTATAATAATAATTTAATATGTGCATCATATTAAAGCAAACCGAATAGCATTTAATGCAATTCTAAGGCAAAGTGTACTAACAACACCACCAAACTTTTTTGTTCTGAAAATAAAATTTTCTTCGAAATAAGCACCTATTATATTTTCAATGACTTCATTAAGTATTAATATTCAACATTTACTACTACACGGCTATTTTTAATGTGTAATAGATTAGATTATAGGTGGAAATCTATTACAATTTCAAGAGGGGGGCAACATTTTTAACATTAATATGAGTGGGTATAGTTATCTAATTCATCAATTTCACTTATTGTTCAAAATTTATGTAACAGATTGTATAAATATAAATTAAGTAATAAATAAAAAAATATAATATGAGTGGGGGCATAGCCTGATAGATGATCTCCACTGATTTCTGCCTTTGTACCTATGTTTAATATTTTTTGATAATTATAGTTACTTTTAAACGCAATCAAGTTGATTGTATTTTTATTAAAAAACTAAAATGCAATTAAATTGTATTATATTTTTAATGATTGCATGGACATATTCATTAATTTCTAGTTTTATTTTCAATACTTTTAGATGATTCTTAATAATTCAATAAATCTACATTCTACACGTTTGTATTTTCATTTTGTACGTTCTTACTGTACATCAATAGTTTGATAGTTATAATTTACGTCCAAATGCCAAAGTTATACCTAGGTTTCTACTTTCTCTAGTATATTTTACAAAAAGAACAATAAAATAATATGAAAAATAATATGATACATAGTCTGTATATAATATCAAGTTCGTTATTTTATTTTGCACTACCTACACGATTTTTTTTATTGGCTAGCGGCAGATTTAAAAATTGTATTCTTTCAAGCTGATAAACTGTTTTTGTGAACTTTTTTCACTTCATTATTTGTGTTAAATGTAAATTATACAGTTATTTTATCATTTTAATTTAAATTAATATAACATTTTTAAATAAAAATGAAACAAGAAAAAATGTTGTGAGCTAAAATTAAGTACTCATTGTATCGTACACCGTCCAATCGATATACATTGGCGCGTGACTTTATTAGGTAGTTTAGTTTTTATTGGGAATACCTACATCGACATAGCTGGTAAGCTTTCTTATGAGTATTCTCTTATAATGATTTCGCCAAACAACGTATGTGTTTTATTGTAACATCTTTAAAAAAAAAACGAACACATAGCCACTTGGCAATATGATTAGTTTTCATATTTTATGACGAGATTTAGAGCTTCACAATTTATTCGGACGCTTTATTGGAAAAATATGTATTTAAACATATATGTATCTGTGTTCAGTACTACATAGTAATATTTCAAATAGTTATGTCTAATTATTTAAAAATAATATGCGTCCAACAACATTGTGTTATTGAGCAATACATGCATTCCATGAACCGTTTAAATCGAGAGCAACTGTCATCGTATTAAACTGGATCTAAAAACAACCTTGTTCATTAATTTCCTACAGGGCCATTATTTTTTGGTATTTTGTTTGTAAATGTATTTACAGAAGTTTTAAGTCTATTCGTTTATTGAATCATTAATATACTTGTAAACCTATATATTGTGGTTATTGATTAAAAAATGTGACATGTATATTTGAATGAAGTGGTCATTTCTTCGACGGTTGTCTTTTGACTGTAAATCTGAAATAATATAGCTGCATAAATGTCGAAAACAGAAAAAGGTAAATTGAGTT